ATCGACAACAATTAGGAACATTTGCCCTTGTATGGGGCCAGCAAAATCAATGTGGACCCTTGACCAGGGTCTACCTGTGGGTTCCCAATGCTGCGGTGGCGCCTGAGGGGGGTCAGGTCTATTTTGCTGACATTTTGAGCACACGTGAACCCACTCTTCAATCTCTGCATCCAGCCCCGGCCACCACACATACCCCCTGGCTAGTGCCTTCATGTGCACCATGCCAGGGTGACCTTCATGCAGGGAATCCAACACAGTCTTTCTAAGTTTGTCGGGAATTATCACTCTGTTCCCCCAGAGAATGCACCCTTTCGAGATTGAAAGCTCCTTTTGGCGGGCTTTGTATGGCCTGAATTCTGGCTCTAGGCCCCCTACCGGCCACCCCCTCCAAACCCAGTTCAGCACTCTTGACAACACGCTGTCCTTAGCAGTATGGTTCGCGATATCCCTGGATGATACCGGGGGTCGAGGAAGCTCCTCAATTGCCAAGACCTCACAGGCGGGGGCAGGGTCTGCGCCAATGTCAGGCACCGGGCACCGGCTGAGGGCATCCGCATGCCCAATCGCTTTCCCAGGCCGGTGCTCCAAGTCAAAATCGTAAGCCTGCAAAAAGATCGCCCATCTAAGCATGCGTGGGGACATGATATTAGGCAATTGCTTATCGGGCGCAAAAATCCCCAGTAGCGGCTTGTGGTCAGTGACCAGCAAAAATCGTCTGCCAAAAATAAAATCATGGAACTTTTTGACAGCCGCTACCAACGCCAGACCCTCCTTGTCTATCTGGGCATAGTTCCGCTCTGCCGCAGATAGTGATCTAGAATAAAAAGCGATAGGCGCTTCGCTCCCATCAGGCATCAGATGGCTTAAAACTGCGCCTACTCCAAAAGGTGAAGCGTCAGCAGCTAACACCAGGAGCTTGTGTTCATCATAATGCGTGAGTACGGCATTAGATGTCAGCAGCTCCTTGACTCCCACAAAAGCCTTTTCCTCGGCCTGCCCCCACTTCCATTTTGCCTCCTTGTGCAAAAGCGCGTGCAAAGGGGCCGCCACTGATGCCTTATGCGGTAAAAACGCATGATAAAAATTCAGGAGTCCTAAAAAGGATTGGAGCTCCTTCTTACTCACCGGCCTGGGGGCGTTTTGGATCGCGGATACCTTCTCATCCGTGGGGTGGACTCCCTCTGCGTCAATGCGAAACCCCAGGAAGTCCACACTTTCCACCCCGAGCGTGCATTTTGAGCGCTTAACTCTGAGACCGGCATTTTGAAAACGCCTGAGGACCTCTTTAACCCGGTCCAGTAGTTCCTGTTCAGACCCGCCCGCAATCAGCACGTCGTCAAAATAGGGCACTGTGCCAGGTACCCCCCTTAGTAGACGTTCCATGAGGCCCTGAAAAATCCCAGGTGCTACGTTGACCCCGAATTGCAGCCTGTTCACTTTAAAAGCCCCTTGGTGGGTTACAATTGTTTGGGCCTCGGCAGCCTCCGGGGTGACAGGCAACTGCTGGTATGCCTGGGCCAGGTCAAATTTGGCGAAAATCTTGCCACCCCCCAGGGAAGCCAAAATGTGGCTTATTACCGGGACCGGGTACGAATGTTGCTGCAGCGCCTTGTTAATCGTACATTTGTAATCGGCGCATAGTCGTATGGACCCATCTGATTTGACAGGGGTTACGATCGGGGTCTCCCATTTGCTGTATGGTACTGGCTCTAAAACCCCTTGCTCAACTAGTTTGTCAATCTCTTTTTCCACCTTATGTTTGAGAGACACAGGTACTTTCCGATACTTCAACCTAATAGGTTTGACTGACGGATCTAAGTCAAACGCAACCGGGGGGCCCTTGTACCTTCCCAACCCTTCGGCAAATACATCAGGGAACAGGTCGTACAGCATGCCCCATTTATTTTCAGACATCCTGTTAATCCCAGAAATACCGATGCCCAATGGCTCAAACCAATCTAACCCTAGCAGGTTAACCCGGTCTCCCTCTGCAATCAGGAATGACAGTTTAACACATTTCCCCTTATACTCAACAGTAACAGAGTCCCGTCCGGCCAAGGGAATTCGGTTGCCCTGGAAGTCGGACACTCTGGTTCCCGCAGGCTGGAGCCGCCGCCGGCTTCGGTTCGGGAACAACTGGCGCCAGGACGCGGCAGAAATCACCGTCACGGACGATCCTGAGTCCACCTCCATTGTACAGGGTCGGCCGTCGAGGAGTGGAGTCACGGTGATCTTGCCCTGGCTGCTGGTGCGATTTACGGCCGATGCGCTCGACAAGGTCGCCGTCAACTGGCAGCTTGCTTCCGATGCTGAGGAACGGGTCTTGCCTTGGGTGCTGACTGGAGTGCCCCTCTGCGCTGACCGGTTGTTAGTTGAGGGATCCTTCTTCGCTGATCTGCAGACTCTGGCCAGATGACCACGCCGCCCACACGCTCTGCAGTCGACATCACGAGCCCAACAGGAGCCGCGCTGGTGCTTCCCGCCACAACCGGAGCAAGGCTTGACGTTGGTAGTCTTCGCTGGGGTCCGCTTGCCTCGAACCGCGTTGACGTCATCATCCGCGTCTTCGCCCTCGCTGTCTCGTTGAGCGTGTATACTGGGCTCTGCCACCCGCTGGCGGACCTCCTTCGTGGACTTCTCCGCTGCTTCCGCGGCCACGGCCTCTTCGTAGGCCACTGCCCAGGTCAGGGTGGTGCGGGCGAACAGCCTCTGTTGCAGCCTTTCATCTTTGAGACCGCAGACGAGACGGTCTCTGAGGGCTTCCTCCACGTTGTGGAAATTACATGGCCGTGCGGCTTTGCGAAGGGCCGCCACGAAATCTGCGATGGTCTCGCCTCCGGCCTGGTTCCGCTTGTAAAAAGCGTGCCGGCAGGCGATCTCCGACGGTTGTGGAGAATAGTGAGCCTTAAGCTTCTCCGTGATGTCAGCGTAGGTGACAGTCTTTATATCAGTTGGGGCCACCAACGACCTGGCTATGTCGAAGGTCCCCTTCCCGCAGGAACTCAGGAGGCATGCTCGTTTCTTCGCCTCATCGGTGATGTCGTGGGTCTCCAGATGGAACTCGAACCTGGACAGGTAGGAGTCCCAGTCTTCTGAGGAGGGTTCGAAGCACTCGAACTTCTGGCTTCCAGCCATCGGGGGAGACTTGGGCACCGGAGCTGGTGGCGCCTCCGCCGGATCGGCTGCTGTGCTCTGCCCGCTTTCTTCCGAGTCCGAAGTGTGGATGTCCGCAGGGCTGCCTACCTGCTCTAACATCCCATCCTCGTCGCCAATTGTTAGATCGCGCTAACAAAGGACTCGTACAGTGATTCAGCAAGTGATTGGGGGTTGCAAGCATAGGGGGGATGCTTGCCTTGGTTCCACTGTCTGATGGGGGGGTCTGCCCAGGTGAACTTTCCCTGTGAGTTTGCTGTCTTATTTCTGAGCTGTTCCATAGACTCCTGTAACTGCAGCTGTCTTTTCTGGAAAGAGCATTGGAGAGACTTTTTGGGGGAGTCTGTAACTGGGACGCCAGAAATGTAATCCACCCCCAACTTGAAGAGATTGTAAAAGAGCAGGTGGCAGGGTGAGGTTCCCTGTGCATTTGGTGTGTGTAACTTGCAGGGGGTCCATTCTATATACTTTTGAACCTGTGTCTGACATGTCCCCCCAAAAAACACTTCCCTGACTTGACCTTAGTCCTGTTGGGTTCACAGTGCCACAGTGGCACTAGTTCTGCTGGGCACATTGCACTGGTTCTGCTGGGCTTGCAAAAATGCCTCCAACCTTCAGTTTCTACTGCAGAGATTCTCTGGGACTTCGATTCTGTTCTGCATGGCTTCTGTTGTCCTTGCTTTTTTGCTGTTTTTCCCTCCATAGGAGCACCTTCTTTGGGGGGCTGTAACTTGGACCCCATAAATCCAATCCTCATCAAACTTGGAGGGCAAGTAGAGGAGAGTCATCTGGAGATCTCTTGCATGTTTGGCATCTTTAATTTGCACAGGATCCATTCTATACAATCCTGACCCTCATGAACCTGTGCTTGTCATTTCCCCAGAAAATGCTTTCCTGGGGACACCTTCTTTGGGGGAGCCATAACTCGAACCCCATAAATTCAATCCTCACCAACCTTGGCATGTAGGTAGAGGAGGGTTAGCCGGATATCCCTTGTGAGTTTGGTGTCTCTATCATGCTGAGGGGTGTTCTACCATGTCACAAACCTCACAAATGAAACTGGTTTATTTGTGATGTTTCATGGTTCATGAAGCTGGCATACCATGAACCATACCACATTTTCCCAGTTCATGCCCATCACTACTCAACACCAGTTCTCTAGGTGAAATCCATCTGGTTGTCCTCATGAATTACCCCTGCATTGACCCATGTGGATCTATAAGAACCAGATCATCACTGAGACAGTACCCTAAGACCACAATTGTACCTTTAAAGATTGACTACCTCTTTCAATAGTCTTTCAGTAGTCATGTATGGCTGCGAGAGTTGGACTATAAGGAAGGCCGAGCGCCGAAGAATAGATTCTTTTGAACTATGGTGCTGGAGAAGACTCTTGAGAGTCCCTTGGACTGCAAGAAGATCAAATCAGTCAATCCTAACAGAAATCAACCCTGACTGTTCCCTGGAAGGCCAGATAATGAAACTGAAGCTCAAATACTTTGGCCACCCAATGAGAAGGGAGCACTCACTGGAGAAGACCCTGATACTGGGAAAGATCGAAGGTCAAAGAAGTCGGGGATGGCAAAGGATGAGATGGTTAGACAGTGTCATCGATGCAACGAACATGAAATTGAGCCAACTTCAGAGGACAGTGGAAGACAGGAGGGCCTGGCTGGAGCTGGTCCATGGGGTCGCAACTCGACTGTGCGACTGAACAACAACAACAAATGTATTTCAAAAGAGCCAATGCAAGTCAATTTGGCATTCCTGTCCCCCATCATTTCCAGTGGGCAATCCTGTCCTTCCGTTTAGCACATCCCAATTTTGACTTTTACTCTGTAGGCCAGGTATCATCACGTTCGCGCATGAGCCGGATTCCTCTAGGACCCTGCAAAACCGGCGCCACGAGGCAGCTGCGATCACGTGACCCGTTTCCTTGCATGCTCTACGTTTTGCCTCTTTCCGTCCGACTTTGCAGGCGGCCATGAGCCTGGAAGCCATCCGCTACCGCAGGGGCTCCCTGCAAATCCTCAACCAGCTCTTGCTGCCCCAGCAGAGCCTCTACGAAGACGTTGGCAACGTTCGACAGGGCTGGGAAGCCATCCGGGCGATGAAGGTGCAGCGGTGGGGATGGGAAGCTGGCATAAAGCAAGCGAGCGTTGCTGCCGAGTTAGGTTTGGTGCCTGCAGAACATAAAGCTTCGTTCCATCTGCATGATGGCAGTAATTCAACAGATGACGCTTTCACAGCAGAGCTAGGAACAGATTTGCTAGGAACAGATTTGCCCTGCTCACAAGTTGCAAATAAATGATGTTATTAAAGGAGCTTGACGGGGGTGGTGGGGTGGGGGTGGGGGTAAAGGTTCCCTTGCTGGAAAGCCAGTCGAGTCCGACTTGCGGTGCTCATCTCCGTTTCCAAGCCGAAGAGCCAGCGCTGTCCGAAGACGTTTCCGTGGTCATGTGGCCGGCATGACTAAACACCGAGGCGCACGGAACGGTGTTACCTTCCCACCGAAGTGGTACCTATTTATCTACTTGCAGTTTCTTGCTTTCGAACTGCTAGGTTGGCAGGAGCTGGAACTAGAGACGGGAGCTCACTCCGTCATGCGGCAACTCGGGTCTTGAACTGCTGAACTACTGACCTTCCACAGCCTGCAGTTCAGCGTCTTAACCACTTGAGCCACCACAGCACCACACTCTGGGGAAAGGTGGCTTAATACAGGTTTGGACTTTAGCCTTGTTCAGGTGTTAAAGTGAGCACTTACACAACCCACATATATGTTGGTAAGAAAGAGCCAACATACTTTCACTTTGCAAATGAAACAAGGAGACCAGTAGATGAATAAATCACACATTTAGCTGCATCCACATTCAGTGTAATACAAGAATTATTCTGTTTACATATAAATAAAAACCCTGCTCACAAGTTACAGTGAAGATGCATACAATCTATGTCTAGCATACACTTGAATTTTCTTTGGGCTGAGTAATTCTCATATTACGTTAAACACACGTACAACTGAACGTGTGATTGTAGCCACACATTTATCCCGGAACTGGTCCCTGTTTATATTTGTAAAGTGAAAGCATATTGGCCCTTACAAACTGGTCTGTGCAGGTTGCATTGAGCATTCACTCTAACATGTGAACAGGGCTCTTAAGTATACACCATACAGAGACAGTGTCTTCACTGGAACAGGGCTTTTGAGTAAGGTCAAGAGATATGGCCAAGATTTGAAGTGAAGGCAAACAATCTCTGGCGGAAGGGGATAGGAGGTTCATTGAGTAGCGCTTGATCTGTCTGGAAAAGACAGGATAACTGGATTTTTTTTGTTCATTGTGGCCAAAATGGGGGTTTATAACTCCATGATCGCACAAACTGGCCCATCTGTGTAACAAATGTATTTCGTCTGATTAGATGACTATGGGGATATGTGAAGCTGTGTATTGTGTTTTTATTCCACCCTGCCTCTAAGGATCTTGGATTGGCATATGTGGTTTTCCTCTCCCCTACTCTGCCCCCACAGCAACCCTGCAAGGTGGGATAGGCAGAGAGAAAGTGATTGGCCGAAGTATCGCCAATGAAATCCATTGGCTGAGTGGAAATTGCAGTCTGGGTCTCCCTAGTTCTAGTTCTCCCCAGTTCTATTTTACCAGTCTCTAAGGCAGTCTATTCACAGCAACCTTTTCTGTACGTGTTCAAAACTAGCATGTCAGAGATTGGCTCTTACAGTACTTATGATTAAGAACATAAGAGACGCCAATGTTGGATCAGGCCAAAGGCCCATCCAGCCCAACACTCTGTATCACACAGTGGCCAGAAATACCAGATGCCATCAGGAGGTCCACCAGTGGGGCCAGGACAGTAGAAGCCCTCCCACTGTTGACCCCCCCCCCAAGCACCAAGAAGACAGAGCATCACTTGCCCCAGAGCCCCTATCTATACCTTGTGGCTAATAGCCACTGATGGACCTCTGCTCCATATGCTTATCTAATTCCCTTTTGAAGCCGTCCATGCTTGTAGCCGCCACCACTTCCTGTGGCAGTGAATTCCGCACCAGCAGCCAGTCCAGCAAGAACTGTCCCCGTTTGACACTGTTGGTTGTTAAGGTCAGTCGAGTGCTCCTCATCCTCTACTCCTACACACGGTTATAAAGTTACAGCTCCTACATAGAGGCCATTGAGAAGCATCTCCCTATATCATGCCCCATCCCGGAGGTGTCACATTTAAAAGCTTCATACTCTTCTGTATCGGTTAAAATGTGCAACAGTTCCGCGCCATCACTGAATGTCCCAGCATCATAAATGCTGTGTATATTCAGGCTAAGGGGCGGGGACAAGAAGCTGTTCAGCAGCACGTACGGACCTCTGCTGGGAGATGGTGATCCGTGGCCTGATCAGTAACGTTTAAATTCACCTCCTCCTGCAAGAGGAATGGAAAGTAAGGAAGAAACAGGAATACAGGCTCTCGTTCAAAGTTTGAGTCCAGTGGCACCTTTAAGACCAACAAAGTTTTATTCAAGACGTAAGCTGTTGTGTGCGCACACACTTCTTCGGGTACAGTGAAATGGAAATTACCAGTTCTTACATATAGGTAGAAGGTGAACAGTAAATGAGCATACAGAAGCGTGCATGTACATGAAAGCTTCTTCCCAGATTTAGACTTTGTTGGTCTTAAAGGTGCCACTGGACTCAGACTTTGTTCTTCTGCTTCAGACCAACAGGGGCTACCCACCTGAAGGATCTTGTTCAATATGTGTTGTGAGCAACAGATTTGGATATGGATAAGATGTCAGTTTGGTGTAGTGGTTAAGTGCGCGGACTCTAATCTGGGAGAACCGGGTTTGATTCCCACACTCCTCCAGTTGCACCTGGCTGGATGACCTTGGGCAAGCCGTTCTGATAAGAGCTGTCCTTGAAAAAGAGCAGTTTCTGTCAAGAGCTCTCTCAGCCCCACCCACCTCACAGGGTGTCTGTTGTGGGGAGGGGAAGGGAAAGGAGTTTGTAAGCCACTCTGAGACTCCTTCGGGTAGTGAAGGGTGGGGTATAAATCCAATCTCTTCTTCTTCTTCTTTTACCTCACAAGGTGTCTGTTGTGGGGAGGGGAAGGGAAAGGAGTTTGTGAGCCACTCTGAGACACCTTTGGGTAGTGAAGGGCGGGTTATAAATCCAATCTCTTCTTTTCTTCTTCTTTTATCCTTACATTAGCTTATAGTCACGGAAATGCTTTTCCCAAGGTCGGTTGTTTTTTCAACATCCTTGCCTAATCTCATATTATACTCATGCCAAAAAAGCTGTGAATCCAGACCTCAGCCCTAGCACCTCTCAAGGGAAATGTAGCCTTTGAGTACAACAGAGAGTAGGCCAATCCACAGACCTCTGGGAAGAGAGCCAGTTTGGTTTAGGGGTTAAGGAGCGTGGACACTAATCTGGGAGAACCCGGTTTGGTTCCTCACTCTTCCACATGCAGCTGCTGATGTGACCTTGGGTCAGTTACAAGTTCTTTCAGAGCCGTTCTCTCACCAGCGGTTCTCGATAGAGCTCTCTCATCCCCACATACCTCACAGGGTGTGGAGAGGGGAAGGGAAAGGCGTTTGTAAGCTGCTCTGAGACACCTTCGGGTACTTAAGGGCGGGGTATAAATCCAATCTCCTCTTCTTCTTCTTTTACCTCACAGGGTGTCTGTGGTGGGGAGGGGAAGGGAAAGGAGTTTGCAAGCCGCTCTGGCCCCACTGGTGGACCTCCTGATGGCACCTGGTATTTCTGGCCACTGTGTGACACAGAGTGTTGGACTGGATGGGCCTTTGGCCTGATCCAACATTGGCGTCTCTTATGTTCTTATGTTCTGAGACTCCGTTGGGTAGTGAAGGGCGGGGTATAAGTCCAATCTCTTCTTCTTTTACCTCACAGGGTGTTTGTTGTGGGGAGGGGAAGGGAAAGGAGTTTGTAAGTCGCTCTGAGACTCCTTTGGGTAGTGAAGGGCGGGGTATAAATCCAATCTCTTCTTCCCTTTGGGTATAGAATAACCTGTTCTTATATGATTGTGTCCATTTTGCTTCCAGTCGTGCCAGACTGCATTCTTGGAAACATCTGGTCCTGGCCTACCACCCATACTTCCATTTCTTGCATGCAGGTCTTCTCAGTAGCAGGCCCACAGTTCCCGGTTGCTGCCATCGCCCATTGCACCTGCTTTCTTTTCCACTTGACTGTTGCTGTCAGTGTTGGATAAGCTCTGGTGTCTGGCACTTGCTGGTTTCCCTGTGGTGCTTGTACCCTAAATGTCCCCCCCTTAGGTGAGAGGTGCTCCGGCCATTGCCATTGTAGGTTGCCTGAGTCTGGCAGTGGAGCTGCACAGTCAAGGAAATGCAGAAGCGAGTGTCAGCAAGATGGAGAGCTTTGTGTTGGAGTCGCTGGACTACCTCGTGAGTGCCCGACCTACAGCCGTCAACATGGCCCGGGCAGCTCAGGAACTGGGCTGCTTTGTCCGCCAGGAGGCCAAAAGGGAAGGGGTTACTGCTGAGAGTCTGCAAGAAAGGTGTGGATCCCCTTTGCTGCTGCTTCTTCTATCCCTGGGCTTGTTGAGAGCCAGTTTGGTGTAGTGGTTAAGTGCGCGGACTCTAATCTGGGAGAGCTGGGTTTGATTCCTCACTCCTCCACTTGCTCCTGATGGATGACCTTGGGCAAGCCATAGTTCTGATAAGAGCTGTTCTTCAAAAAAGAGCAGTTTCTGCCAGAGCTCTCTCAGCCCCGCCTACCTCACAGGGTGTCTTCTCCGCTCTTTAACAAGGCCTCTTCTCTCCTTTCCATGGATAATTTCCATGGCCTTGCTTCTTTCGGATCGGATTTTACTTGAGACTTAAGTTGGTCAGCAAATAACGCCAAGTCATTCAGGGAGGATGGATTGCGGGCTTGAATCAAAGCTGCAATA